TTAGAGTAATATGAATTTTTACAATTTTTAGTGTAAGTAAACTGTGCACCGATTATTTGTCAGTCTTGAAATACAGTCCTAAACCGAAGCTGTAGTAGTAATAACACGAATTAATAAAAATATTAAAAGTTATTTGTTATTTATTTGTATTGTTCTCTTCATTTTATAATTAATATTACACGATTTATGTTGTATATGTAACGTTAAATATTATACATTTTCATGATCTGAACATTGTTCTCTAAAAATGTTCGCGTCTCTCAAACGACGGAACTTATCTCCGGTAATCACTGGCGTAATGCTAATCTTTTAGACGAGTACACGCATCCTATAATAAGATCAGCATTAAGTAAATGGAACAAAATGATCAAAAGATACGCTGGCGTCTTAAATAGATTTATGGAAGAATTATTATATCTTTTCTGAATTGAGATAACATTTTTTTGCGAAAATTGCTTTCTATTAATTTAAAGTTGCTATTTATTAAAATATTTTAGATTTTCTATATAAAATTCCAATAGGTTTAAATCTTAGACTTTTCATTATACATGGACAACTATTCGTATTGCTTCACTCAATCATGGGTAATCACTAATCATTTGTAATGTGCGCATACGTGCATTATGGCGGAAGTTTATACAGCTACCAATCGGATTTCCATTAAAAATTGCTGAATTTCTAAATGTATGTATTTGCCTTCCCGTGACCTCAATTACTCATTGACGTATACGGAGATTTGCTAAATAGGTGAAATCATCCCTAAGCCCGCGGCTCTATTCGGACATCAAATTTCAGATGTGGATTTGGTGCGCACGTGCGGGCACATCGTGGCGCGTCAGCTCGAGTATAACTGCTCGTAACATGTGCGTCCGTGCTTATTGCACACATATGTACGCTTTCAACCGAAAGCATGAAACGTTTTCAATAACCCAGAAGTTAAGTGAAATTATTTAAACTAGGAAAATGAAAGACGCGATTTATGTATACACACATATGCGACAAACTTTACCATAAAATTAAAAACACAATTTTACTGATTCTCACAGGAAAAGCCAAATATGTCCCGTGTTCTAAACACAAGAATATAATACATTTACAATTTTATATTATTCAATTTTTTAACTCTCTAAGGGCGCCTATTGCATATTTGCAACATTCACTTTAAAAATAAATTCGAGATAAATTCGGGATAAATTCAGGATCAGTGCAAATTAGTTACGTTTAAAAATTGAAGATGGAAATATCAGGAGTACGTTCCAAGAACTGCAGTAATCAAAACTCTACATAGTTTGCGTCACGTAAATTAATAATGATAATAATAATAATAATAATAAAACTTTATTAAATTGCAATATGAACAAAAGAAAATGTGAGCAAGTACATAAATGAAATAGAGGAAGAAGGGTATGCACATCAATAGACATCAGCATGAAACTATTAACATTTGAAGCCTAGACTAACTATGGGTGCGTTCTAAATTACACATGAAGCGCATGAGATCATACTATCCTTCTTTATTCTTCGGAGACCAACACAAAGGTAAATGATATATCATGAGCTTTGTGCGTAATTCGGAACGCACTCTACATAAAAATAATAGCATATATTTTATTATATTTTAAATCTTATTATAGTTATGTTTTGGAACACAACCCAGGAAAAGTCACATGCAGATATAGTACTTAGTATATCGATATGCACATTGATTATATTGACAGATTCTTTTATTTGCTTATAAAACATTTTTAAGAAGTAAAAAAAAAATTGTTTTTTTATTGACAAGACGATGTCACTTACAGAGAGTTAATACCTATATTCTTCTTTTTTATTTGTAAAGACGCTTTTTATACGTAATAACGCTGATTGCTTTGATTCATCTCAGCTGTTAAGGATGATCCAGGCTTTTGACGTTGCGTATGAAAGTCACGGCTCTAGTCATGTTCTACTATTTGCCGGTTTTTTGAAAATTTTTCGTGCGTGCTCCGAATATACATAGGAATGTGACTCGCCGCCTACGAAAAAGAGAGCTGAGTGAAGAAGAGATGCATGTACATGCATGCGTGCGTGCGTGCTTGCATGCGAGTTAGGCTAATGAAACGGCAATAAAACGAAATGGTCCTGTATTAAAATGTGAGTGTTCCGTAACGTAACTCGCAGCGTCGCGTCGTATCCGGCATATCGTTTTACTTGTGATGAGATGCGTATGGCAAATCGCGAATTGTAAATTTCCGGATATTATATCCTTTCGCGATTTGTGAAAAAGTAAATCGTTATTTGTCTCTGATAGTTTCTGTTTGGATCGTTTGCGTGTACGAAAAATAAATAGTGCTAGCCATTCTGGTTCGTAACGGAACAACAACCCGATTGTTTCACTGAACACTGCGAACATTTTGTGTTGTTCAGTCGATCGGTATCACGGTATAATTTGCTCTAGTCATCAGGAAAGCACACGCTCGAGGCGATATATTTTCAAATGTGCGGTTTATTGGGTTCTGTGTGACAATTCTTTTTTGTAAAAATTGTAATTTTATTGAAACTGAATAATATTTATAATGTAAAAACTGTTCTATTTAATTATATTTATGATATTTACTGATTCTATGGGGATGGCAATTTGACAAGCTCAGCGTAGAGGGCAGCACCGAACTAGGGGACATGATCGCGAAAGCGCGTATTTCGTTTATAATCAATGAATGGAGTGATGTGGATTGAAATTATTATCGAAAAATAAATAATATGGATTATAGTAAATTGAAAGTAGCTCAATTGAAGGAAGAATTGAAGAAAAGGGGAGCGCCTTTGAGAGGAAAAAAGGCCGAACTTATGGAAAGGTAAGTGATGTCGATATAATGTCGATAGCTTGTCAAGCTATTTTGTGATTTTAATAAAAAGTCACAAAAAAAATCAATGTATCTATATCAAAACAGTTATTTACTGCGGTTATTTATAATTTGCTGTGGACTTTAATACACTGCTTATAGAACATTATTAAGGATTGAGGTTAAAATTGAAATAAACATACAGCCATCAACAGTCTCTAATTCTTATTTCTATCTACTAGATTGATAGCATATGTAAACAACAACAACTTTGATGTTAACGTTAGTTTGGATTTAGTCCTCCCTGAATTTGATCTCCCTCAGGATGAAAAATTTAAGGATATAAATGCCAATTCAACTTTACCCAAGATCACCAGACTTCACATCGATCTCTATACAAATAGGTAACTTGCACTCCGTAGTTATTATTATACTTATGAAAAACAAATATGTTCACATTTGTTTATTATATTTTTTGTTCTTAGGTTTGAGAAGAAGGATGATATGGGTGAGGCTATGTATAAGAATCAATTTTTGGAATTTGTCAGGTACTGCAAAAGAGATGACACTTTCTTTTTTAAAGGAGTGGTACATGCTCAAATGTATAAAAAGGTAACTTACAACGTGCATCTCAAGATTGCAAATGATGCTACAATAGAAGCCACTCATTGCGAATGTGCAGCAGGGGAAGGAGGTTCAGCTCACTGTAAGCATGTTATCGTGGTACTCCTTGGAATTGAACAAATGGTACGTGAGGGTGACATAATATTGAGTCAGGCATGCACTCAAAAGTTGCAAACTTTCCATCAACCAAAGAAGAAGTACCAAGGCACTCCTTTGAAAGCTGCTTGTTTAAAAAGTGTCTATCGATGCAATCATATTCAGTTTGATCCCCGACCTCCGAAATACAGGGGAAAAAATACCAAAGAACGACTTCATAATTTATGTGCATCATTCCATTCAAATATGCCTTTTAAGCATCTGTTGGTTCCCGCAAATCCCTATGGTGTTGAATTGGATCATACATACTCAAAGATGAATCCTAAAAATAAATTCCTCCAATACATGCTTCTTCGTAATGTGACACAGGAAGATATTGTGAAGATCGAGATAGAAACTCGTGGCCAGTCTAATAATCCCCTATGGTTTGCTCATAGAAAGATTCGTATTACAGCTAGTCATTTTAAAGATTGCTGCATGGTTAAGAATGAGAGGCTGCCAAATTACTTGCCTTAAGGCTGCTGAATCCAAAAAAAATACATAGCGAAACATTGTATCATGGTATTATTAATGAACCAGTTGCCATCCGTAAATACATTGAATGTACTGGAACTAAAATGGAAATATAAAAATCAGGACTAATTGTATCAAAGGAACGTCCATATTTAGCTGTTTCTCCAGATAGATTGTTGGGACCAAACTGTCTAATTGAAGTGAAATGCCCGTTTACTTCACGAAATCGTGAGATAAATCCAATTACTGTGCCACACTTATATTTTAAAGAAGAAAATGTTCTATGTTTGAAGCGTGACCATCAATATATGTACCAAATCCAAGGCCAGTTATCCGTTGTAAATAAAGAGATTTGTTACCTAGTTGTTTATACCTATTGTGATTTAATGATAGTACAAATTGAAAAAGATTATATTTTTATAAGTGAAATGTTATCTAAACTTGATTTTTTTTATGAAAAGTATTTCCCCTTCCTGCTCTTTTAAATAAGTATTGTTACAGGCAGTACTCCGAGTATAATTTTTGAGATTTTGACTTAAGTAACTAAACGCTAATGTACCTATTTTGTAAAGGTAAAAATGTTAAAAGAACAGTATTTTATTTTTAATTTGTGATTTATAAGTATTAAGTTATGTTTTAGAGACTATTAATTAATTTAGCTAGTTACTGTTAATAATAATCACTTCTTAACTAAGAATGAATGTGATGTAATATGTAGGTCAGAAAGAGAATTGCAAGGTTGCATTTTTAGTTTTGTTTTCAATACTGTATCTACAGAGACTCTAATTACTTGTTATCAGATGCGTACGAAAGCATTATTTATGTAGTTCATTTTATTTTATCTAAATTGAAATGTTTTATATTTTATGTACTCGTAATTCCATAGAATGTTCTCTGTGATATTATAATCATATTGTTTAATAGTGTATTTCCCAGCAACGATTGCTTTTAATCCAGATTATTTTCATATTGGATTGGATGTTCAAGTGTGTCATTGGATGTCAGAGAAAATAAAAAGACAAATCGTATTACATACACTTTGGGTTTAATTTCTTTACTATCTGAAACATTAGGCATCTGCACTTACAATATTTTCTCGAAAATTACAAAGAATACAGCGTACATAGAAAATTTCACTTGCCAAGGGTACAAAGTAAACAGGGAGTTCAGTTTTTAAAATTTTATAAGTTTTGGTTAAGCCGTTAAGTCTCTCTATATGGACTCTCTTACTCGCAAGTTTACGATCTTTAAGAAGAGTCAAGCCTGGTAACTGAGTTTTACCCTTGAGAAAAGCTGGTATATTTATTGATACATATATTGGAGCAAATAAATCTTGAACTGTAAATCCTCGATCAGTCATTATAGAACCACCAGGCTCAGTTTTCTTAGTAAGATTACTTCTTTCAACTATCGCTCTGTCGCTCACAGATCCCGCATAAGCTGAAGAAATATAAGAAATAAGTCCACCAGGTGTTGCGCCAACCAATACTTTCAATGTGGTTTTGTTCTTGTATGTACTAAAGGTCGCTTGCTGAAATTTCGGATTTTTAGGAGCATTTATTGGAAATTCTGTTCCATCTAGTATTACCCTAGTTGAAGGATACATCTGTTTAAATCCTGAGGGCATGTAATACATAATGAGATCCTTATTAGGCCATATGTCTATTTCAGACCACTCACAATACATAAAATTTAACCATGTAATAACAATATTCTGAATTGTCGTTTTGCTAACATCAAACATCAAAGCTAAACCTATATCGGATATGGCTCTCCTCAATTTAATGAGAGTTATAAGAAACTGATCCTCAACAGCAACATTTACTACATTACCATATCGGTATGTCAATTCATAAGCTGATGGCCCCAAACTATGTAAAACTAATTTTAATTTTTCTAAGGATTCAAAACCCGTATAATAAGACACACTCTTCGAATTGTTTCGAAGGTTCTCTATGGTAAAAATAATCTTCATGAAGGTTTGAGTGGCAGCATTAGCAAAAGTTTTTTTAGATGATCCAGTATTTACTTTAAGAGAGACTGTTTTCTCTGTAGTGATTTGACTGGTATTTGCATTACAGGTTGAGTCTGTCACTTCAATTTCACAACCGATGGAGATTTTATTTAATGAATAATGATTAATATCTTCACTAGACGAAAGGAGAACAGGTTCTATAAACGCGGTATTTGTTTCAACTGTTGGACATGAATTACAATTGGAGCTTGTAACCATCAGTCTCTTTTGACTCAATTTCAGCTCCCTTTGCTTCTGTCGCATCAAACGAGCATCTTGAAGTGAAATGTCCAATTTTCTTTTCCACGAAAATATGGATGGCACTACATCTTTCTTTAAAATTCGTTTTATCAGTGTGTGACCTGCTAAAAGATACAATGTAAATGTAGACAGATTAAGTAACTTTTACAAAAGGTTAACTGTTGTTTTTGTTAACTATTTATGGTTAATACGCAAACCACACGTTAAGAAATAATAACGAAAATGCTAATACCCAGTAATCTTAGTACAAATTCACCTGAATCAAAGCCAGTAGTAGCATAATCCTCGAGTCTAAAATGATCTGTGCACACACGCGACTCTGCACTCGGGCGGAAATCTTTACGTTTTATTGCTGTGATCCACCGTTTTTTCATTCCCTCATCTTTTGGGAACCGATGCCCTCCCCTATTTTTACATCCGTATGCCACACACATGCCCGGCATGTTAAAATTAAAATATTAATCTTTTTATTATGTTTCATAAAGACGCAAATTGACATGTCCCCAAGTACACTAACGCTCCTAACGGCTATAAGTGGCAGTCACCATCCCCATAATTTATCCATTTTGATAAATCTATTGATTTCATTGTAAAGCGAAATAGTTATTTTATTAACTAATTTGTTCAGTACTATATTTCAGTACTATACTGAAGAAGATCCAAATCAAGGGTTCTCGAAAAGATCGAAACATCTACATCTTTATTTTATTAATATACTTTTTATACATGACTACCTAGTGACGGGTTTTTAGTATGTGTTTTTTTAAATTTATGATTTATTTCTTGGGAGCCTTACTCTTTTATACATCTAATATATTACACTAAATGACGTTAAAAGGAAACAGATACACGGAGGAAAAAATAATATAATAATTTAATAGAAAACAGTCTCAAATATAACAAATCTTCAATAAATAATCCAGTAAATACTAACAGTATATTAACTAATATATTAATATATATTATAATTTCCTGTTCAACAATGTAACTATTACATACGTGTGTTATATTACACTTATAATGATCTAATTTATACGTTTAGTCCGCTATCTGTACCCTATGTTTCTAAACACGATTGGTTGTGATGTTGTAATGGTGTAAACAGTTGTTAAGCTGTCCAACCTAGCTTGAGTTACATCTCTTTTTCAGGATCTGTTTGAGGTTGGAAAGCATTTTAATTTGGGCGGTTAGGACATAACCGGTGATACCTGCGAAGCAGTCGGTTTACGTGTTTGAGAAGTGATCGACAATGTAGTATCGACATATTCGATCTACATATATTCGACAACAGCTCCACACATCAGTCGGCACCGGACTAGCGAATGTAACGCGTCCGAATAAAGCTATTGTGAGAGTATATTTTCTTTATTAATTGTCTAACTTTGACGGTATTTCCTTAAGGGAACGGCCGTATTTCCTTTTACCTGATGACGAAATTGAACAAGAGAGCAAAGCTAAACGGCTCATAAGTCTAAGTGGATGAAACATGATCCCTGATCCATCTGGATTGCACGACCCAACCAGATCATATAAACGCTGATGTAAACGCTGATAGACTAAAGCCGACGTAAAGATCTCCGGTGACAATTTTTCTGTGAATTTTTTATATAATTTTTCAGAATTTTTATCTAAATTTTATAAATTTTTTAAATTTTTGAATAATTTTATAACTTTTTAGAAAATTTCTCAAATTTTTAAAAATAGAAATCAGACACTTTTAAAAAATGCCGAGAAAGTCTCCATCTAGCATGCTTTATCTCAGAAATCTTCCTGGGAACGTTTTCAGGACGTTGGAACGATCTCAGAACGTCCTTCGGAATATCTCTCGGAAAACTGTTCTATATGATTTACATGTTTTCAAGAATTCTTCATACATATAAACTCTAAAATATTCTTAGATTTCTAAGATTTCTTATTCTAAATTTTTTTTTGAAATTTTATAAAATCTAAAAAAGTTTAAGATACTTTTTTCAGAAATTATGAAATTAAAAATCATAGAATATGTTAAACTGAACATACAATATATAAAAAATTTAAGAAAAAATGTAGATTTTCTTAGTATTTTTGAAACGTGTTTCAATTCGTATAAAAATTTTGAGAAAAATTTTTATTAGGAATATCATTAAATACTAATAGATTGCTTTGCTTTCGAGTACCGTTACGCATTTATATACATACATATGTATCACGATGAAAATAAATTATTATAAATAATACTTTTTTTAGATAAACAGAAAATACAGAATGATAATGATACAAACGATAATAATAAATATCGTTATATTTTACAATTTGTTGATAGTATTCACATAAAAATTAAATTAGATCTGAAAGTATCATAAGTCTACATAATGTAAATGTTTCGTTGGAGGTCTACTTTCAGTCAGGATATATCTTATATTTAAAATTATTTCTAGTGTAGTTTCAAGCTGTTATAAGCCAATTACAGGCTGGGGTATTCATATTCAGTTCTTATCTTAAGACTGTCTGAAGTAATGTGTATGTGTGTGTGTTTTAAGATAATAAAATGCGGTTTTCTAATTATAGTTTATAACATCTTAAGGTTGTATTAGGACTTAAACATAAGAATTGACTATGAATACCGACCACAGAGCCGCGCGAATTAGTATCTTAAGATATTACTTAAGACTACCTTTAAATAAAAATCGACTGAGTATTGGCCTGAGAACAGTTGATCTACTGTGTATCGGGATCTTCGATCTGAATGCTAAACTGTCACTCGTATATTACTGGTAAAGCCCTAGAAGAAAATTAGAGATGCAACATAGTACATGGAAAAAAAGATTCGGCTATAGCAGGCAAAGATATTCAGTTAGTTGAGTTTCAGTTGGAGCAATACATAGTCTGTTCTCATTAACTGAA